TAATTGTAATAGTAAAAAGTTTTATTAGTAGCAAAGTTTTATTTTTTATAAAAATTATATTGTACCACAAAGATCATGTAAAAAATGATCTATGTATACTCTATCCTTAAGAAGTAAATTCTAATCAGATAATCTTTTTGTATTATTAACATGTATTTAAAACTAAGATATAAAAGAGATTACATATTAATAATATATTATATTTTCTTTAACCACATTTGACTTTAATTGATGATCTGTTAGTCATTTGGACAAAGATCATAATGTAATGTAATGCAGATCACTATGTAATTTACTATAGAGTAAAATGCAACATGCACCTATCTAAAACTTTTTTGGTACTAAGTTAACAGTCCAAATCGATTAATTGAAAGTTGTAGACCTCACTGAGGCGCATCTAATGATGATTAGATCATCCAAATCGGTTAGTAGATGCCGAGATATTATCAAAAAATGCTTGGTCAACTATGTAAAATTCTATATGTAAACAATAATCTGTTTGTATAGAATTTTACATAGTTGTCCAAGCGTTTTTTGGCAATATCTCGGCATCTACTGGACCGATTTGGATGATCTAACCGCCGTTAGATGCAACTCAGTGAGCTCTACAACTTTCAATTAATCGACTTGGACGGTTAACTTAGTACTAAAAAAAGTTTTAGATAGGTGCACGCTGCATTTCACTCTATAGTAAATTACATAGTGATCTGCGTCACGTTACACTATGATCTTTGTCCAGATGACTGGTGAATCATCTAAATATCACATAGGTTAACCAATCAAATTAATTAACTTAATCATGTGATGTCGGCCAATCCAAATTAGCATTATGTAATCTTAAACATTGGATGGGTTTATATTGTTCTTATTCAATTTGGCAATTTGGTACAGTGGATGTTTTAATATTTTGTTGCGGCAGCTACGTATAGTTAATTGTCCGGTGATTATTTAAAAACATCAAAAAGTAATTTGTCCGTCCACACACGTGATCTAAAATATAAAATTGTGTGTTTTCTCAAGGTTTTGTGATATGAGTGATACTAGAACCAATCAGAATTGGTGGGGGAATTAGTAAATTTGTGATACTGCGGTAAAACTGGATAAAAAGTTGTCACAGTTGTACTACCTTAAAAATGTATATAAGTAGTGTCTGTGATTCTTTCAATGGATTTCCGTAATGGCAGCGCAGAAAGTTAAAAATTTGGTGGTGCCTCCTTATATAGATAAATATGGATCTCAGAGCGTAACTGATTCTCAATGGATTGCTGCACTTAATATTTGGACATCAAATCTTTCCTTGATTTTAAAGTCAAATGATACAGATTTTGCAAACTATTTATTTCATAATGAGTCACTTCAAAAGTTTTTGGAGTCGTTTTTGAGAATTAGTGCAAAAATTCGTAAATTTGAAGTTTTGCAAACTAGACATTCAATGGAAGTTGATTTAGATAAAAAAGTTTTAGCAATATTATTGCGCCTTTCAGAACCATCAATTTCTTCGATACAAGTGAAAAATGGAATTACTTTAGGGGAAGCATTGTATCAGAGTAATTTGATATCAGTTTCATTTCTACTTGATGTAGTAGCAATGTATGGTAGATCAAATATTAAACAGATAGAGAAATTCATTGATAATATAATCAAATCTGTAACAAAAATAATCCAAGATTTTGAAATGCATTCCAGTACGATTGTTAAATATATAAAAGTCATAGGTGACAAATTTCAGGAAATAGCTGACAGTGAAAAGACAAATAAAAGTATTATGTCTGATAAAAAAAAGCTTGTGAACGCTCGCCCTTATTTAGAATACATGTTGGATATCTCTGTCACTTTAGATTGTTTATTTATAGTTTCAAAACTCGTGGCCAACATATTTAACGATAGACAAGACTTTGAGGATAATGTTGATTTTTTAATGACAATAGAGAATTTCTATGATAATATTATACCAATAATTTCAAAGCTATTTAAACTATTTGAATCTGATAAAGAATCACCGGATATTTCTAGGGATTTAATCATTTTGAAACACGCATTAGTATCACTTACATTCCATACTTTAAATGCATGTTATTTTAGTCCAGTAGGACTCACATCCAACGAAGGTGATGTATATTCATTTGTCAAATCGGATGACAAGTTAGAAGATATAGAGAATATAAATTCTAAGATTGAAAGGATGGGTGATGTGCTTTTTTTTTTCATTGATTCTTCGCAGTTGGACAAGCCAGTTGAATCGTTTGTAGATGCGCCATTACTTTTAGATTTGGAGATTGAATTTGATTTGAGTGGAAAATTAACAAGAATAAAAAATGAAGTTCTTAATGGATATCCTTTTTTTAAAACATTTAATTGAATTCGTTTATGCTCGACTTTTAATATCAATTTACACATATAATTTTCCTTAGTTTTCACACTGATGATGCTAGGATAGACTATATTGTCGGGTCATTGGAATTAATGCGTAACATGAATCAAGAGAATGACAAGTTACCTTGGCAAATTCGATTAGAAGAAAAGCAGAGAAGACATTTAGCGCGTTTGACTAATAATATTAATAATCATAGTCCTTCAATAATTCACAAGGTTAAATCAATAATTAGATACGCCTTGTTTTATAACATAAATAACACCTTACATACATTCAATTTTCCATTATTAGTCTGATACAATTGATACAACTGAGGACAGTGATATGAAACGCTTGGCTCTTATATCTCAAGTTCAGGACCTTTTCCCTGATCTGGGTGAAGGATTCATAGAAGAATGTTTAATAACTTTTGATGATAATGTAGAGATAGTTATTAATCGATTATTGGAGAATTCTTTACCAGCTCATTTAAATGAATTAAATCGTTCAATGGCTCGGTATATTAAATCTTTTAATTATATTAATACTATATAACATATACTTAATATCTTATTATCTTTTAGTCGTGCTGTATCAATGGTTAATGATAGTGTGAGCGGTCCTAAAGGTTTGGTTTTATATTTTCTGCTAAGATTATGCCTTTTGCGATATGAATTACAATTTTTTTTTTACTGTGTAATAGAAGAAAGCCTCTTAGCTCAACGTCGAAATATTTTTGACAACGATGAATTTGACGTATTTTCTGGTAAAAATATAGACTTCAAACGTGTCAATAAAGGAAAGAAGAAGTATGACTTTGAATATATATACATATATATTATTTTTTACTTTAAAATTTAAGCATATTTCTAATTATAATATGCTTTTTTTAAAGTCGTGGTACAGCAGATGCATTGTTAGATGACAAGTCATTTGTGAAAGATCACAAAGAATCAATTATAAATATTGCTAATGATATGATGTATGAGGATGAGTATGATGATACTTATGATACTAGTGGTCTTAAAATGGGAGGCATTGATCTCCATATGGTCGATGAGACCGATGATGAGATAGAAATTAATAATAGAACGCATGGAAAGGTAACTAGCGAAAAATCATTCATGTTAAATGATTTTACTAAAGACGTACCTTTGCACGAGATGATTATGCCATTTTTCACAATAAAATTTATTACTGAAAACTGTAATATGTTAAATTACATCTCGTGTAAGGTATATCTCTAGATTATACTATATTTTTACGAAATTTTAAAATTATTCATAGATCGATCCTAGTATTACGCATGAGAGCGAACTTATTAAGGTATTCCAATCAGACCAGTCCGTCTTTGAGAGAACTAGCGCTGTAAGGAGATCAGATAAACGTGCTAGACTGAAGCATATTACAGGAATGGCTGATGAACAACTCGAGGGATGGTACATCATGTTTCAAAGAAACGTAATTATAAACATTTTTTTCTTATATTTATTGTTTAAAAATCATATGATATTCTTAATTAAGATGATTTAAATACATTCTAGCCGAGGAAAGATAAAATTCTTGCGAAATATGAATTTAGAGGTAACCATGAAGAAGCTTCATCTAGTGATTTTAGTAGATCAAAAGCTAATAAGTTTAACCGAGTCGATAAATTCGATACGGCTAAGCCGGCTTAACCGGTTATTATCTTAAAAAGTTAAACTTTCACGATAATAAATTATAATCAAGATAACATGTCGTTGCGTAATTTTTTCGACAGTAAAAAGAAACTAAGTCACGTTATTTCAACACATTGTCTTACACTACTAACTATAGTGCCCAGGTACTAATTACATGATTTCGATAAATTTATTAGTAAGATTGATTTATTCGACGCAGATAGATCTCGACTTTGATTTGCTGTTGTACAAAATAATTCTTTTGAGCTGCGAGCCGATAGGTTTATATCATGTTACTATTAACCAATAATAAACTCACCTAGCATTGTGACTTCAATGACATATTTAATTGTCTTTACCCAAGCATCTTTAAAAGCCTAACGTTTCAAATATTTTATATAGAAATTATCTGAAATTTCTTTAAATTAATTAGAACCATTTAGTGTTTATATTTTACTATCTCTTAAACTGTTTTTTAGGCAAATTTGTCTGGATTTTTTTTTTATTTATATAATATCATAGTAGAAACTTTAAAATACAATAAGAAATTTAATTACAGAAAAAAATTTCTAAAATAAAGATTTCTAAATTACATTTGTGTTGCTAAAAAATAGACACCCAATGTGACATTACATCTTTTATTTCCTAATAAGTGTTATAGATAATTGTTTCAAATTATTTTCTAGTTAAGATAGGTTGAAGAAAACCTTAGGTAAGAGTCAAGATATTATATAAAGCATGTGGTTAGAATAAAACCTTGTAAGAATCATTTGTTAATTGCTACTGTAGTATTAGAAGTTTGTGTAGTTCTTGGAAGGTTGTTAGTGGAAGAAGATATTGTTGGAAAATGAATTTTTGTACATTTAGTTTTAGTAGTTATGTTTTGAGCAAGTTCCTATTGATGTTGAGCTATATTGCATGTAAACCATAGGTCTTGATAGTACCAAATAAGAAGATTATTGGTTAAATTAATCAAAAAGATGTTTGTTTGTTTGTTTAAAAGAACTTTGATATTATTATAGATAGTTATAGAGAAAGTGTCAGATATGATATATAAGATAAATTGGTAATTAGGATTAGTGTAGTTGACTGTGAAGTTTAAGATAATATTAAAGATGGAAGATGCTAGACTGTTAAATATTTGAAGTGAGATAAGTGTTAATTAGATTGTATTGAGTATTGCTTGGTTTATATTAATATTATTGTCTGCATAGAGGAAGAGATAAAGTATGTTTTTGGGATTTGTATATTGGGAACATGTTGTTATTGTATAGAGATAAGAATAACATATATTAAGATTTTTCATAGTAGGTAAGTTATTTGTAAGGATTTTAATATAAAAGAAGTATTTTTGAATATCATGTTTCATGGATTTGATTATTTAAAACTTAAGAGCCCAGTTAGGTTCTGAGGTATTTTGGAAATATTTAAGTATAAACCAAGAAGAAAGTTCTTGAATTGTAATACTATTTTTGATAAAGTTACAAATTTTGAATAGTATAAGATGATTATTCCATAGAAAATAAGTTTGAATATTTGGTAATAATAGTTTGAGAATGGGTTTGGAAGTTTCTTGTTTTGCTAGGGAGTCTGCTTGGTTATGAAATGAATTTGTATATAATTTGATTTTTGAAAATTGTATGTTAAGGTTTTTAAAAGTTTTGAGATAATTGATAAAAGAAATAATATCTTAATTTTTAATATGTAATTGTTTTAAAAGAGAAATATGTTACAAGTTTTTAATTACTGTTTGGTTGTCGAGATGGATTGTAATAGTACTGTTTGATAGTATAACTAAAAGAAGTGAAATAACTACTTCAAGTTCAGTATGATTAGTATCAGCATATAATTTTGTGCTTGTATTAAAGTTTATATTAGTATTTGTTTTGCAAATCCAGCTTATACCTGATTTAATATTTGGTATTTGACAGTCTTTGATAGAACTATCAATATAGAAAATTAAGTTGTCTAAATTAGAATTTCTGATTGAGAAATAAAGTTTGATTAATTGATTTTTATATGAAGTTAATTTAACAGTTTGTTGAATGAATTATATTTCAGGAGAAGTTAAGTTTACTGAAGGATAAGAAAGAGGTAAGGATTAGGAAGAAATGTGATTGTTAATATAGATAAATAAGAAAATTTTATTGAAGTTAATTTGTAGTAAGTTTTTAGTAATTTTAATTTGGTTATATAGAATACTAATAGAATGAGAGTTTGAGATTATTGGAGGTGAAATAAAAGTAATTAAAATAAAGCCAGATGAGTGATAAAGAGGTTGATAGAAATTAGTTTGTTGAAAATGAATTTGTTATAAGAGAAAGATTTGTTAATTGTTATTATAGAAGATTTTGTAAGGAAAAAGGTGGGTTAAGAAAAAGAGAAGAATATCTATTGAGTTGATAAAAGAGTTTTTGGGAGAAAGATTTAAATAAGACTAAATTGTATTGATATTGTAATTTTGATTAGAAGAGAAGATTTGTGTGAACCAAGTTGGTTGATGACCTTGTGTAGGTTTATTTGTTTATAAATATATGTTATTCCATAGAAGAAAGCATAAATTATCTGCTGTTATAATTTGTTCAAGAAATAGAATTCTGTTGTTTCTTAAACTTTGAATAGTTAAGTTAGATAATTTTGGAGGAAGTATATTATATATTGTTTTGTAGTTTGTAAAAGTTTCTGGTGATGATAAAAAGTTAGACAATGAGATATTGTGTTTTGCAAGTTGGCAAATATGAAAAATTAGTGTAAAGTTTTATGTTTTGTGATAGTGAGTATTGAGTATATCTGTTATAAGCTTTGGTTGCCAAATTTTGAGAAGCCAGTTCTTAGTTCATAAGGTGCCAATAGTATTAAGTAAAGGTGTGAAGTTAAAAATTCGTTCAATATTAGAGACACTTAATTTTTGTAAAATATTGTTGAAAGTTGGTAGGTTAAAAGATAGTGAATTAGTGAGGGTGATATTATTTGAATTTCTTGCTAGTGCTGCCTAGATTTTTAAATTGTATTCTTTAAATAACACAATAGATTATTAATAATATGAGATACAGTTATAAAATATTTTATTGAATATATATTTTATAAATTTTATTAGAATTTTTTTTAAAATTAATAAGAACTTATTGAATAATAAAAATTTAAGATTTTGTTTATAAATTTTTATTATAAAAAATTTCTTCTAACTTTTTAAAATTTTATGTTTTCAAAATTAAAAAAAAAGTTCTTAATATAAGTTTAAATTTTTATAAGTAAATTAAAAAAAGTTTATTAATAAAAGTTAACATTTTTTATATAAGTTACAATATTATATTAAAAATTATAAGTTTAAAATTAATATTTAAAAAGTTCATCAAAAATTAATAAATAAAAAATTTTTAAATTTGTTTATTTATAATTTATAAGTAACTTAATCTTTTTTCTTATAATATAAAATTAAATATTATTATATTATAATTTTTATTTTTAAATATTATCAAAAGAATAATAATCTTAGTATAGTAGTTAGGTTGTCATCTTTTAAGCAGTAGATTTAGAGTTTAAATCCTATTAGTAATAGAATTTTGAAAAATAATTCTAACCTAGTAATTTAAAAAAAGTATTTGAAGTTATAATTTTGTAATTCTATTAAAGCTTTTATAAGATTTTTGTTAATTTTACTTGTTTTCTTATAAGTTTTTTTTAAAAATATTATTTAAGTTAAATTAATAATTAAATTTTCTATCTTTTCTATTTCTTTTTATAAATTTTATATATTATTAGGTATTTTTAGTTTTTTTTATTTTTATTATATAAAATACAATGTAGATTTTCGTATATATTTGAATATCATTTTATTAAAAATTTTAAGACTAGTAGTTTTGTGATTTTTATATTTTTTATATACTTATACATTTAACTTTATTTTAATTTTTATTTATTTTATTTTTTTGATGTTAAGGTAACCTTTTTAGTCTTTTAACTTTATTAATAATTTTTTAGTAATATAATTCTATGAACTACTACAAGAAAGTATACAATTAGCTATACATATAACTTTTCTATATTATCTATTTAAGAAGTCTGCCTAAAGAGTACCCTTATTAATCACTGGCACTGCTCATTTCAGTCTCAGTTCTCTAATCTTTATCCTACTTCTCCTTCTACCACCACATTATACACTGGATACCATCTCAATTCAAACACAATCGCTAACAAATGTACTATCTTTATTCTTACTAACTTGGCTACTAAGCTACTTTGTCACATTAACCTTGACAAAACTCTCAACCTTTATGCAAACTTTCTTGATATTGCATACCTAGTTGCACTTCGACATCTCTTACATATTTCATCTCTTCTCTCACTTACAATTAATTCATAACAACTACTTTCTATTTTTGAAACATGTCAACTTGTTAATAACCTCCAGACTATCGCTAACTCAAATCACAATCTATTATCTATTTCATTCTATACTAATAGTTTTGTTATCGATCTTGGCACCTCACAGTACTCTATGGGCATAGGTTAGGTTCAAGTTGATAACTCTACAACTATTAACTCATTTCAGGCACAAGTTAAACTGTGGTCATGTTCCTTCAAAGCTGAAATTCTTGCTATTCTTTTAGCAATTATTACTGCTCCTAGACATTGCTCAGTTCACATATTTAC